TTCCAACAATTTGTATGGATTGTTGTTCCCTCTACGACACGCTTCCGGATTAGAGGGATGAGCACCTCTGCGGACCGAGCGTTATCCAGACACACTTCAAGACGTACCATCTTCCACCATGCTAAGGACCCAATTACCGTCAACACCCCTCCCTGTAAAGTAATAAATGCATAATTAATATGTAATTCTAAAAACATATATAAATTTTAATTTACCTTTATTAAATTTTCTTCTTCCAAATTTCGATTCGTCGATTTGGACGACTTTCCCCGGATCACCAATTTTACCAACAAAATGCTGCAAATCAATTTCATATAAAACTACCTACTCCCTACAGTAGTTATACCAATCTGTTATGGTCACACTTGACAATGTGGTTCCTTTATAGGGGTTTTCAAGCCTTACGGCTGCGTGCGACCAATGGTGGGCAAATCCATATATAATGCGAAAGATTAGCGGCAATGAAATCTTGGCATTTTCGAACCATGTATTGGTGGCCCGGGAAACCCTTGCCTTTGTCCGGCAGCTGCCTTTGCTGCGCCTAAATTAGCCCACTGTTTCATTGCCGGCATCACTCACCGAGATGTTACTTTTGTGAACTGGACACAATTTAGATTTCAATATAAGTCCCATATCTTCGGAAAACTTAACACATTGTTCCCTTGTGCCCAGCTCTAAATATACGCTTACGTGATTCCACATTGTCGCTATCTCTGTTGCAGTCAGCACATTAGTAGCACGCACTCCACTGCTGGAGGAAGGAATTTCTAAATAAATGTATTTTATTAACGTATATATACATAATATTATATAATATGATCGTTATAATTTTTACTTACCGGTTTCAACTGAATTCATTTTGCAAAAATAAATTTCAAATATAGCGAATGAAAAATAGCAGCATTAAAATAATTGGAATAAAACTAGCGGTAAATTTTCATTTTGTTTTGTTTTTATATTTTGTTGTTGAATATTGTTTAATTTGTATAATATTTTACATGGTACGGCACCACCACCCATATTTATTGCTGAGTATTGTTGAATTTACAGAATATTTTACCCTGTATGGCAACACCATCCATTTTAGTATGCAGCCATGTTTAAGTGAACATTTGTTTTGATTATAATATAATTTCTTAATCTTTATTTAAGTTACTTTGCGCGTTAATATATACAAAATAAGTGAAACTATTTCATAAAATAAAATTAATATTTGTGTTTGTTAAACAAAAATGAGAGAATAGTGACCATTTCATAAAGAAATAATGGGATAAAGTTAACAGTTTATAACAACAAATAACTTATAAACTATAATATTATATATTCAAATTCCAAAAGTTAAAATATTGGAAAAATATATTTCTGTCATCATTCCTACGAAGTTTCATGTCGAAATTCCTGGTTGTTTGCTTACAATATCAAGTGGGGCTGCATATCAAAGCTCAGCCAATAGTTTTTCTATGTATGCCTTGGCGTTGTGATCTTCTTCAGTGCACTTTTCATCTTCCTATCTGCAGCGTTTAACCGTAACTTTGCTGCTGGAGAGCGATATTCTTGCCATACTCTCCACAAACGACGCTCATTCTTTACTAGTTCTTTTATTTCTGTATCTGTTAGAATTTTCGGTTACGTTGTAGGCTTTTTACTTTTTGGAGATTCTATGGTTGCCGCAGAAACATGGACATTATTTAGCTCATTATTGTAGTCATCAATATTGTTTTCACAATTAAATATTGGGTTGATGTTCATATGACTACAAGTACATTTTTTTGTATTTTAGCCAGTTGGTTTCTCTGCTTGTTAGTCTTGATTCTTGTGCAACATCTTCGGGACTGGTGAGTGGTCTGAAGACAACTCAGCAACTGTCACAGCTGATTCAAGTTGCCTGTCGATTTTTCTTGAGAGAGCGAAGTCTTTTAACTCTGGTATTTTCTTCCGATCGGTATTGTATAGCTGACGGCCTTTTGGGTTTACTAAACGGGATCCCCAGTACACATGCTTTAAATTTTAGTCTCCCCCTGCTATAAATCTATCACCAAGATTATCAAAAAAAATCCTTAAATTGATTTTCTGTGATCTTAAATTTTCTAGGGCAATAAAACGCTGAGAAGTTGCGCTTTGCCATCAGGATGGTTAGTGGGGTAGAATATGAAGCCAGGTATACAAAAATTATATTTACCCGTCAAGTGCATTTCACACAATAGCATTTCGTCTATAGCATACTCTGTTAAAAATCGTGTCAATTTTATTTTATGCTCGTTCTCACCGTTTACATTCCATCAACAAATGTTTAGCACCTTAATTTTTTTTAATGAAAATTTGTACCTTGTTATTCTTGGCTTTAAGCAAGTCTTGGATTTGGGGAGTATTTACCATTTGACTTCGGCGAGTCTGGATTTTATTTGCCAACCTAATTTTTTGATCCTTATGTACAGGGAAGCCCCTATAATTGACAGTGTGATTACCTCTACAATTACTATATTTTTTCATGGTGACGTCCTCTTTCTTTGACGTGCATTCAGACGTGGGATAAAGGTCCCTACATGTTACGCAAACACTGCGCAGTGTGCATTAAGATTTAGTATGGCCGAATTCTTGGCAGTTAGAGTATTGCACTGAGCTGTTTCTTTTGTGTGGCTCTTCTAATATTACCCTACGTTGTAACAAATATTTGAAATTGTATATGGGATGGGTTTCGTTTTTCCTTATCTGACTTTAATTGGGCTCTAGTTCTACCTTAAACATTGGCTGGGGTACTTTATTTCTATTAAGTATATTTATAACCAATTTAGTACTGAAACCATTTTCTTCAAGAGCCTCTTTTATTTCATCTGGCTTGACTAAGGATTCGATACCTTTAATTACAACTGTTAGGCCTTTCGAGCTCTTCGATTGATATGAGTAATAATTTTTATTACTCGACGATAGAAAACTTACTATTTGCATAAAGATTTTTTCACTGTAAGTTTGAATTTTTGTTTCATCAATTGTACCTTTTCTTAAAGGCAGAACGTGAAAGTTATTAGTGCCGACTATTTTGGTAATATTAATAACTAGCGTGCTTGAGACACGTTCGCGCAAGTAAATTGGCGGTGGTTTGGTATTTGCAACTGTGGTAGTACCCTTTGCGCTGTCCTCACTTAATAAAGGAAATCGGTTGCTACTGGAACGTTCTTGGCTTTTTTGCTGTTACCTTTTTTCTCTTGTTTTTCTGTCGACTTCGCCGTCTGTCTAGCGCTAGCTGAGTACTGATGAGAGTCTTCTGTTTGCATGTTGCTTTCTTTTGCTGTTGTTTGTGTTGGCGTTGTTTGCAAAATAAGAAAAATAGGCATTTGAGAGCCTTCGATCCGGCGGTCTTAGCCGTGACGCACTCATTTTTGTTTTTGTCCTCACAGAATAACTTTTTTGGTAATTTCTCTGTTAGTACTTAATGTTTATTAATATTGTGTCGTGTTATTTAATTTGGAGCTTATTAGTGTTTGACTTTTTTTAAGTGCTCTTCAGATTACACTAAAGGCACTCATTTTTCACTGTAGGTTTTATTTTATTTTATTTTTATGAGCAGTGCTTAATTGCTGGTGTGCTCTAATAGCTCTCTCACAATTGATATAGACTTATGAGTCACCAATCGACATTAGCGCGTTAGAAATCAGGTTGTCGATGTTCCCTTAATACTCTTTCATTATTAAACAGTTCAAATATTATTATATTATTATATTATATTTTTAAGCTTCTGAGCAATTGAAGCGCAGAAATTTTTTTTTTACAATTTTTCCCCACATTTTATGACTAAGTTCTGTAAAAGGAATTTGTGATCCAACCATGGGTATGGGTTTTTATACCGCAGCCAATTTAAGTTTCAGCGGCTGGATTTTAGCAGAAATATGCCTCTTTCAGGTCAATTGTACATCGTCGGCTTTTATACGCCGGTTTTACAGCCATTTTCCAACGAATTATGCGGCTCTCGTATTTTTTCAACCGTCTGCAAGATTACATGTGTATAAGAGGCATATGAGGTATCTTCGATAAATAATGCGAGACCTCAAATTTCATGTGGTACGCACATTTCTTTGTCTATTTTCTATTTTGCAAAAATTGGCGCCAAAACAAGAATTTAGTGATGGAAACAACTTAAATTATTCATGGTAGACTATGAAACTGTTTACATTAGAAGCCAACTTTCAACTATGGAGTAGTAGATCAATTAAAGAGAGTCAAATTAAACTCCACGTAGACTGCCCTATCTAAGCTCCGAGGTGACTATTATAAAATGTCATAGAACGAAAGCGAAAAGGCTTGTTAACTGTGATACGATAAGGAACAGGCAAAGTGAAATTAATATCCACTTGAACTAAATCGCTTTCTCATTAGCAACGTATAACAGAGATGGCATGCCTAAAAGGATAAGTTTTGAAAATAAATATTTAGTTGGAGTCAACCAGAGACATAGAATATGTTTAAAANCATAGGTATCTGAGTGTGGAGTGGTAGTAAGGAGAAGGCGTTACAGCCTAAGAATAATTTTAGGTTATCTTAAGACATTCGGGTTATGCGAATAACTGTTGAAAGGGAAAACTATACCTAATGTCGATGGGTCGATTCTCCACGCTATCTATTTATCTATCTATCTAGACCCGCCGGCACATCACCAACCTGTTAAGGAGAATTATCGAATAACTATCGAAGAAATTGATGATTTTCATGCTATGCAATTTTTTTTAGAAAAATTAAGCCAGAAGCGGAAGGTAACAATTTTAATTCTAAATCTGCCTTATATCGTATGAAAATTTGCTCAGAAATTTCGGAATGAGGTCATTGATGGTGTTAATTTTCTACTTAAAAGTGCAATGAGTGATAAAGAGTCTTGCTTAATGATTCAATGAAAGAGACAATCAAGCTCAATGTTATACTAACTGTTTTCTTCGGTCAAACACTGACGGTTTGTAAAATCGATACATCTCATTGTAACGTAAAAGTGGGAATAAAAAGTGAATACTTACATATTTATATGAAAATCCAGCTGTAACAGTGTGTAATAACTTTATTCGTACTCCTTTGCTTATTCCCTCCAACTGCTGTAGATACATTTATTATACATAATTTTAATTAATGAACTCTTGTTTCGTACTGTAATGTAAATGAGTGCATTTAGACATTATATTTTACATTTTCGTATAATTGCATTTACGTGTTTCAACGACACCAGTGACTGTGTTTTTATGATTTTAAAAATAATAACACTCCGAATTACTCGTCCTTTGGGACACAGACACATATGTTCATGTATAAATATGAATACATATATGTACAGTACTTTTAGCACATTATTTGTTTACACCTGTAACTTACGCTGCGCACATTACTTATAGATGAACGCCGTTAAACAAATAAGTTTCCAAGAACTCATAACTGTGTTGATTTCACGCACTAGCGACTTATATATGATTTTTAGATAAATATAACATGCTTTACAAATTGACGTAGTTTGATAATTTTTTTTATGGCACTAAATAAACTGTTTAGCTCTCAACTAAACGAACAACTAACTTTTTTCATCGATATTTGTATTGATATTTTTTGTATGGAAATACGAAGCTTTGCAAACTCTAATTAAACGAAAAATATAAAAAATAACAGTTTTTAAGACATTACACTTAAACTTTCCTTTTACTTTTATCAGCTTTCAAGCCAGTATTTTAACGATATATTATAAGGTTTATTCTTTGTTGTTTAAAATTCGCACCACGGAAGAAAATGTAAGCCAACCAGAAGTTAAAGTCCGTTGCTCCACTTGATGTTTCGGCGATTAAAACATCCGTTGTTTCATTTTTTTTTTTTATAATATTTTACTCTTAATTTTTTTAGAATATTGATTCATATATTATTTTATTTCGCTTTTTTACTTTACTTTTTCATTATTTTATATTAATTTGATTTATTTTTTTTCATCATTTAGAACGAAATTAATTAATATTTTAAATATTGCTTAATTTATTTTATTTTGTTTTGATATATTTTAGTTTATTTTATTTACCTTTACTTTATGTTTTTTACATTTTATTTTAGTTCTTATTTTTTTATATTTTTTTTCTTTGATTTTACTTTGTTTTCCTTTTTCTACTTTAATTTAATTTGAATATAATATAACTTAATTTAATTTTCTTTTTAATTTCGTCTTATTTTATTTTGATTTAAAATATTTTATTTTTTTTATTTCATAAAATTTTGTTTAATTTTATTTAATTAAAATGTTTTTTATATTTCATTTTATTTTATTTTCTTTTATTTAATTTTATCTATTTTATTTTATTAAATTTAACTTAATTTTTTTATTGAATTTAATTTACTCAATTTATTATTATCCTATTTTCCGTTATATTATTTCATTAAACTTTATATTACTATATTTTATTTTTGTTTTTTTCAGTATTTCTAAATTTAGTATTTCATTTAATTTCGTTCACTTTTTTACTTAAAATTTTTAGATTTATTTTTATAATTATTTTTTACTTACTTTCTCTTTTTCATTTTGTGTTATTTCATTTTATGTTACACTTTTTAATATTGCATTAATTTACTTTATTTTATCTTGATCTTCTTTATAATATTTTATTTAATTTAGTTTATTTTGTTGCAGTTGAATTTATATAACTTAATATAATTTTTTTTTGTTTTCTTTCACTTAATTTTTTTATATTCATTTCGTGTTTTTTTTTTTGGTTTTGCTCTATATATTTTAATTCATTTTATACAATTATTATTTTTTTATTTCTTATATTTTGTTTCATATTATTTAGGTTTCAATAATTTTATTTCAATTAAAATTATTTCATTTGTTATTTTCATTTCATATTATTTTTTTAATTTTTCTTTTTTTGCTTTTTATAATTTTTTAATTTAGCTCATTTTATTTTTTATTAATTTTATTTTATATATTTTTATTATATAATGTTTTACTATAATTTTATTTTTTTTTTATTAATTTAATATTTTATTATTTATCTATAATTATCATTTTATTACTAACATATAATTGGTATAAGTACAAATGTTTATGCACAGATTCACAATATAAAAGTAATTTTAAAGTTCTCGCTTAAATTTTTGCAATTCCAATTTATATCGTATAAAGAAAAACCGACTTATTTTTTCGTACAAATAAATACAAAATACAAATAATTAATAATAGATTCGTGCGGGCAGCGGGAAGCGCAGACTATAAGGAGACACAACCACTTTCCGTTTCTATGTGTCAAGTGACACTCTCTGAGCGCCCTTAGGGTATCAACAAACTTTCCGTTTTTGCTCATGATATATGTATGTATTTATGTATGTATATATGTACATATGTACAATAACTTTTTACTGTTTGCTCATAGATATAAAAGCACACTGTTAGATTTCTATAAATACATATACATAGATGTGCGTAGGTGTGCACATATCCGCTTGTTTGTCATCCATATTTGTTTTTATCATTAATTATGCGTAACATGTGACTTCACAGCCACGACCGAGTGGCCGAGTTATGGTTTCGTGGCTGTCACCATCATCATCAACATTTGCCGCCAATTAACTTTGCGCGCACTCATAAGCACACACACATACACACTAACTACAAATGCACATACATGCGCATGCAATTAGCGGTTTGCTATTTACTTTTTCACATAAATACTTATATATTTAAAGAAGTGTGCAGCGCTACTTAATGAACGTTGTAGGTATGATGAAAAAAGAGCTTAATTAACGGTAAAATTCAGGTTTGTGGTAGCTTGCGGCACATTAGCAACTTTACTACTGACTCGTTGCGGTGCATACGTACAGGTATGTATAATGATGGATGTGTGTAGTTTTTCTTTATCACAAATTTGACGGTATTTTCAATCGATTTATTTCATACTGTTGGTTGTTACCGATACACTTACATCACTGTCACTCGAATATGCCACAGCAAATGCGAAATGTGTCACGTGCAATTAAGGAATTTCGACTTGATAGACAGATTGACTGCCTGCTTGGCTTACTCACTGGCCACCAGACAGGTTTTTTACTTTTATTTTTTTTTGCATACATAAGTACATTTATGTAATTTATAATATATACTCATAACATTATAAAATATTTATATTGTATATTTTACATATTTACATGCAATATGTTCTCTTCACATTTGATATTTTCTGAACTTTTTCGTAAGTCAACATATATATACTCGTATATGCGTTTGGCGCCAGCAAAAATATTTTTTGTGCAAGATGTGTTAAGATATTACCAAAAAATGTTTCACTCACTCTGTTTTTATCGAGATTCATATATACGTAGGTATAAACAATCAATATGTATGTATGTTTTTACATGCTTTTGTGCATGTTTTATGCATATGTAAATGTATCCGCGCGCTTGTAAGCTTATAAACAAATGCGAACACACACCCACCTTCACTAACAACAGCCGTTGTTGTTTTCTTAACCGTTTCTTTTGTGTTATTTCCTTCCGAAAAGTGAACCAATAAAGATGACAGCGCGACGTTGACTGAATGATGCAGTAGTCCAGAGCAGGTATCAAGCCTAAGCTGTGTAGTGTGTGTGCATGACGAGAGCCACGTGTATGGTGAATTTCTACTGAGATTGCTCCGAGAGCGAAGCACGTGCGCAGTTTAGGGATGCTGTGAAACAGCTGATAAATAGTGGAAGCAAACACCGCAAAGACATATGCGGTGTGAAGGGGAGAGAAGGACATTGTTGAGAGTGTGCTTAAATGATAAGAAAGCTTCATGAGGTGAACTCTCTGCACGTGTATATATGTACATAAGCATAAGCAGATATATATATATACTTCATGCAGTAAGTAATAATTCATGATGGATGTAATGACGGTACCGGAATCTTCATTAGAGGACATCGACAGAAAATTTGTTTTCCTTTATTTTAACGTGTTTGCTCCTGGGCTGGAGTTTTTTTTAACACAGGTTTCTCGAGGTGACCCCGTCAGATTACAAAACACTATGGCTCTAGATAAGAAATGTGTCGGACATTTCCTATACACATATACCAGGGTATAAAGGCACCCATTAGATCGTTCCGACTGTATTCTAATGGATCCTCCAAGATATATATTTTTTTCATTTTCCAAGCACCGAAAAACTTCGTCTCAGTAGGTGTTCTACGAACCAAAAGAAACAAGGGTGACAAAATTGCCGCCACCATGCAGAGATGGTAAAAATACAACCGCATGATACGACGGTACAAAGCCACATCAAATTTCTTCGAAATCAGCGTTGACACAGCCGAAAACGCATATAAATCACCCTTTCTGAGCCGCTTTGGACTTCAAGACCCTTAGTGACCAATGCTAAGCACCAAGAGGAATGTTAACCTCTCAAGGTTTAAGCTTCTGGAGGGAAAGACCATACCGCAGTTTAGGCCACGAGAGTTACAGCTCAGTAGGAGCACACAAGGTACGAAACAGCAGAGGAAAGTAGCGGTTTAAATCTGTCCAGATTTAGTGCCAAAACCCGAAACAGCTTATACGTCTGGAGCCCCATGGGCAAAGAAAAAACGATTAGACCCCACGTGAGAGCTCATAGAGTCCAACAGGCAGCCCTGAAAGTTTTTGAAAAAAAAAAACAACAGACAGTCAGCATCAAATTGTTCAAAAGTACTAACAATGCCCGAGGAAAGCGGACCTTTGGGAAATGAAGTTTCAATCATCTCCCCTCAACAACTGAAAAACTTATTTCTCTGAAAAACACAACGAGTGGAGCCAAAAGACTTTCATCAGCTTCCGATCACAGAACGACGGGGCAAGCTAACTTTAAACAAAACAATAGTTGTGCTAAGTGAAAAACCTCAGATTCTGGTTGAGGACAGTCGCAGATGCGCTTTCATGCTTCAGTTTTCGCAAGCTTCTAATTTACTAATTGTAAGAATTAAAGAACCCAGAAGTCCTGGAAATTAAATTTTTGGTAAGCTGAGTACCAAAAAACCTGTAAATCTTACTTACTTACTTTCCTATTTTATTGTCGTAGACATTGTTTATGCGATTTTTGCTGTCTGTGGCCAATTGGAAGTGCCAAGTGCAGCCAGGTTTTTCTCTACCTGGTCTTTCCAACGGAGTGGAGGTCTTCCCCTTCCTCAGATTCCACCGGCGGCTACTGCATTGAAAACTTTCAAAGCTGGAGTATTCGCATCCAACCGGACCACATGACCTAGCCAGCGTAGCCGCTGTTTCTTGATCCGCTGAACTATATCAATGTCGCCGTATAACTCGTACAGTTCATCGTTCCATCGTCTGCGATATTCGCCTTTGCCAATGCGCAAAGGGCCATCTTGTGCAAAACGTTTCTACTGAAAACTCCTAACGCCGTCTCTTCAGATGTTGTCATCGTCCAAGCTACCGCATTGTATAGCAGTACGGGAACGATAAGGCACCTTTTGAGTTTGATTTTCATGCGTCTGGGGAGAACTTTACTTTTCAATTGCATACTAAGCAGCACCTGCTGGCAAAAGTGATTCCAAACAAGATTTCAAGGCTGATATTATTATAGAAGTTATAGACGAAGTTGTCTATGACCTCGATGTTATGGCTATAAATAGTGACATGGGAGCCGAGTGGCGGAAGCAGTGCCTGTTTGTGTGATAGCAGGAGATCTTTTGTCTTGCCCTCATTCACTAGCTTCTCCAACCTGGAGAAAGCAGAACTCATAGCACGGTTGTTGAGGTCAGTAGTATCATACAGTTATGCGATGGTAGTAAATTCAGACATAGCGGCGTAAATACAGTTCCTCATTATGCTGTCGAAGGCTGATTTAAAATCGACTAAGAAGTGGCGGGTGTTGATCCTCTTTTCACTAGATTTTCCAAGATTTGGCGCATGGTGAATACCTGGTCAATGGTTGACCTACCAGATGTAAGCCCTCTTTGTTGTTTTGTTGTTTTTTTAAGCGGGCAATTACTATTCGAACTTTTACACCATCAGGTAATAGAACGCCTTTCCCATCGTCATCGATTGAAGTTTCAGGTTCACCATCTCCGGGTGTATCTTTTTCACTGCCATTCAGAAGCCTAGAAAAGTGTTCTCTGCATAAATTCAGTATACTCTAGGTCATTGGTTCACTCCTAGGGCCTAGGGGTCCTACAAGAGTCTGCTCCGGTCTTAAAACCTTCCGTAAGTCGTCGTATCGTCTCGTAGAACTTACGAGCGTTACCCTTATCCGCCAGCTTCTCGAACTCGCTATAATCAAGATTTTCGGCGTCTTTCTTTTTTCCCCTGCAAATGCGTCTTGTTTATATCTTCAGCTCTCTGTATTTATACCACCCCGCACGTGTTGTGACCGATTGCATGTCTGCTCCCCAGTTCATTCAACTCCCATGAATATTTATCCAATTCAACAAGGTTTGATCCTAACTATTAGTTTATTTAAATTATATTAAATAATATTTTGAACGTAACTGATGCAATGAGATCTGGTAAATCCAAACAAAAAATAAAATATTTTTCAAGTCTTTTATTTACGGTAAATGCAGTTATTGACGTAGTTTTCCCCACTCCAAACCTGAGTAATTAGAAAAACTGTAACCAGTAGTATTGCTTCCGAAAGCTCCCACTTCAGCAAAAACTGTCAACATTTCTCTATGCCTTCTCTTGAGTAACGCCAAACGAAACTTCGTTTACTGCTACACACACTTTTACAAAAACAATTCCACAAACAAATATTTTTCAATAACAACAAAGGAAGCGGAAAGTAAGAGGATGGGCATAGCGCGCAATCACTGGAATGGAGCAAAAAATGCAACCTTGAAACTAAATTCCCACTTCTGTGCTTTGATTGTTTTTTGTTGCAAACTCTGTACTTCCGAAATGAAAACGAGTGGGCGGCATCATCGAAGTGATACACCAACTTAATATTTTTCTCAGTCGCTTTGCAATTGTTGTCTTTAATAAAGAGGCGACGGATAAAACCAGAGCAATGTACAAGCCAACGGAAATACTTAGTAAATGCTAATCGAAAGAAGCTTACCGTTTCCACCTCCGAATGCAGATGTGAACGCGATAACGCAAACTCGTAGCAGCAGCAGAAATCAAATCAATGTTTCAGAAATTTCTGATGAAGCAGCGTTTTTTTTCTCTTTCTTCTATCCGCAGTTGATTCGAAAGTTCATTAGGATCAATATCTTGTTTCGGTAGCGTGGTCAAAGTGCTTGCAAATTAAGATTGAGATGTACAAAGCAAAACGCGGACAGCGTAACAAATTGCGCTTAGAGGTTGGTGAGGTACACTTGTGCTCTGTGAGTACACATATTTCACTGATTCGTATTAATTAATTCCATTTGACACATGACCTGTCAGCTGGCATTTGCCGCAGGTAGTTGATGTTGATAAATGTAAAACGAGTTGGAGACAATTTTTAAAATTCAAAGGTAGTTAAATGAATAGCTTAGCAGTATGGAAAATTAATTTTCATAACTTTTTGTATATATTTATATACAAGTCTTAAACCGAACCATTTAATTTTATTTTATTAAATTACAAATTAAATTTAAGGTCGGCGGGATGGTTGATAGGGAGAGGTCAAGAACCTGACCGCAGCGGATGCACCTAAGCCATTGAGCAGGCTCATTGTGTTACTCAGTGTAGCCAAACTAGGCGTTTGCGAAAAATTTTCTGGGATTGTCATGGAAGATGTGACGTCTCAATCGGCTAACGGCCGGACATCACTCAAGACGTAATATAATATTTGAAGGTAGCTGTACAAGATGATATCTAGTATATTTCCCTTCATATAGATCGGGCAGAGCCACTCCCAACAGGTTTTTGTTCAGCCATATTATGCAATGAACCTTATGCATGTAACTTATTGCTTCCGGCTTGCTGTATTTGAACAGTTCGGCTGGTAAGCCATCGGATCCTGTCGCTTTATTATTCTTCAATCATCATAGGAGGATGATGGAATGCCTGTATTATTATCATTTTTTACATCTCAGGCTGGCCAATTCCTCGTTTTGCTTCACCATAATTAAGCTTCCTCGTAATCAGACCTTTAGAATACTCACTTTCACTATCGATATCTTTCATACATTGTTTCCGCTGCAGTCGATCGCCATGTCACAAGATATGCGCCATTTTCCCTTCACTTAAAGCAGCATTCTTAGTGCGATCTGTCATTAATCCCACAAGCGTGCTGCATTTCTATAGAGACCGCGCGATAAAAATTATGTGTATTTTTGTTCGATGCTTATGTGCATGTTCTCGATGATCCTGCATGTCGTGAAGACATTTTATCTTTCCGTGATCTTCTTCACCATTTTCAGAAAATTTTCTTTTTGCATTGAGTGGAGGCTCCAGAGGATAGAGATAGACGTAATTGTATGTCGAATAGAATACCCGCTGGTTGTTTGTATTATTGCATCTTTTCCACCGAGAAAGTTTAAAGTTGATGGGCATGCTTTGCTGTACAGCGGAGTATCTTCGCTTACCGATGTTACATCCTCGGACGGTACGCACGCTGAAAC